GTTAGGGAGGAACAGTAGCTGAAAAAGATGATAGGCCGCGGGCCTTTGCATTAGCGACTTCCGGCCATAGTAACTGAGGCGCCGCGATAAAGTCCTTTTGGGAGCACAATATCCGTTGGCGTAGTCTGACGGTGGCCGCTTCTGCCATAGCCAACAGACAGAAGGCCTCTCCGGCTGACCGGTCCTGTGCGCTCAAAAAAACTTCGTCGCAGTGCCGCAGTTACCATGGCCGAAATTTGCTTATCCAACGGCCCGCAGCTTATTTTCTTTCTAGGCTACCAGCCCTCCCTAACGCTGTCCAGATTTTTGACGCCGATTCCTCTCCCCTCCCAATACCCCTGAAAACCGTACCATTTGTATATCAACCCGTATGGTTTAGTTAGTTAATTACCATATAAATACAAAGGATTGAAGACAATTTATCGAAAACAGTCCTATGGTCACCAACTTACCTTCTGAGTAGTTCAATAAGAATTTCCTCAAATGTAATGACGTTGCCTATAGAACACTTATTATTATGGACGGCGCTCTATAAATAAGAATTATTTACGGGTTGGGCAGATTTGCTTAATTTAGCTGACCCAATTGTGAAAAAAACTCGTGGCGTTGGCGGCAGTCGAACCTGCACAGTAGAAAAGGCCTTTAAGCAGCCAACGCTCCACTGATTTGAACTACGACGTCACGCCTGCGCCACGCATTTAATCACACTTGGATCGATTTTACGCACCCAACTTTACCGCCCGTATTTTTTCTCCTCCTCATCCCTCTGTCCTGCTTGGACAGTCAGCCCGCTATTCCGTATTTGTGGATTTCATACAAGCGGTAAAGTTGGGCAGATAAAATCGATCTAATTCTGATTAACTTAACGACGCATGCTGCGGCAACGTGGCTGTGTAAACGCCTTCCCTGCTGTGTGGGTTTGACGCCCACCGACGCCGCGAGTTTTTTTCACAGTTGGGTCAAATAAAATAACAAAAATTATAGTAAGCACATAAAGCCGCCCACCACGTTGTCTGACCAATTACCTCCGGTACGCTATCGTATTGCGGATTGAGGGATTGACAACGTGTTTACGTAAGCCTGGCATTAATATCGTTGGACTACAGAGGACAGCGAGCATATGGCCTTACCCTACACAGCAAAAACTAACCCAACATTGACTGAGTAGCTGTTTCTCTAGATTTGCACTACACATCTACCGCTAGCTTCGGATCTAATCCTCTTCAAAAAAAAGCACAACGATTTTGCATTAGGTTTTCTACCCAAATGTCAGGTG